AGCTGATGTGTGGTGAGCGTTCTGGCGCACTATGGCTGCCGTCGCATCATCCAGGTGGATGCTGCACATTGGTGGTGGTGGAGGGGAGACCCCATTACCTGTAAAGCGCTTTGATTGGAGTGTCCAGAAAAGCGCTATATAAGTGTAAGCAATTATTATTATTATTATTATTAATTACAGTTTATTTACTTAGAGAGCCTACATGTGTTATTGAGGACATATGGACTTAAAAGGACAAGAATAATTAAATAATATCTTAGTCTGAGGAAATGCAAAACCGTCTACATTTCATCAAAAAGAGTTCCACTCTGAGACAGAAGCTTTACCAGCTGTGGAAAAAGACAAGACCTGCGTGTGCTGATCACAGTGTTCAGGCAGAAACGTAATAGAAACAGGACCTGTAATGAAAGACATCGAAATTATTTGAAAACCATTAATCTTTTAACAAACATGAGAAACGATAAAACGCGGTTCTACATTATTTTCATTAGAGTAGGCTCTGCAACTCCTGCTCAGTTATCAGAGGTGCGTTAATACATACGTCTAAAGTATTTCTTCTCTGTAGAGAAGGGCACTGACTACACCTTTCTAAATTCGTTAATCGTCTATTCCACTATTTACAAAAGCTGATAGAACAAAATAAGTAAATTATATTCTGTTCGTTATCCAACTGCCATAGTCCTCGAAAGATTTCACATTCACAACCTAATTATCCCCAAGAGGTCCGAAGACCCAAGCGTGCAATTACCGAGTCAAAAAGGATTTATTCAGTTTTCAGATGACCTATTAAAACTCAACAGCAGCATCGCCAGATACTCATTTTGCCACACGATGATTTCTCTGAACCTCACTGTGCCGTTAGCGGTGGACTTTAGTGACGCTGCAGATTATTTCATTTTTATAACCAATCTACTAATTGCCACCAGTGCTGTTCTCGTGGCTGGCTCGGTTGTATTGGTTATTCTTTGTAAAAAGTCACTTCGAGCACAAAATCGCTTTATTTTCATGCTGAACACCAGCATATCTGACACTCTGTCTGGGGTAGGTGGTTACTACATCGGTCTGTTTGATGTGCCGCAAGGCTATCCGCCTAGTTACAGTACTTATTACATAGTGCATTCGCTACCTGGAGTCAATATTATGACCATCTTGTTTTCACAGGTGGACCGATTCCTTGCAGTAGTTTATCCTTATACTTACAATCGTTATGTATCCAGGACTGTAGTTATAGAAGTTTGTTTTTTCGCTTGGTTTTACACATACGTAATAATGCTGACGATTCTGAACCTCGTTACGTTAGAAGTGCTTGCAGAAATACGTGCATATAGCGTGTTGACCTTGCAGGCAGTAATAATCGCCAAAGTGTTGATGAACGTGAAACTGTACCTCATCGCTAAATACCAAATATCGCGGGAGCCGCCGGGTCCAGAGAGAGACAGCAAGAAAGAGTCCCTGAGACTCATC